CTTGCCTCCTGGGTGCCCTGGGTTTCTTGGGTTTCGACGGTTTTGCGCTGGAAAGCGTGACGTTCCCACACCCAGAATCCGTGGACGTCCTGGGGTGTCTCAGGGTTGGATTTCTTGTGAAGGGTTTCTTGTGGACTGGCCTCCACTGTACCGCAACGTTGCCTCGCAGGTGAGGAGCAGCTCGGCCACGCGCAGAGGGGGGTAGGGGGCGGGGGGGAGGCTTCTTAGAAGCACCCTTGCTTCTCAGAAGGCGCGGGCCTTGTCTGCAGATGTAAGGCCCGCGCCTTCAAAGAACCGGCCTCTTTCTTCTCAGGGGGAGGAGGAGGAAGAGGAGGAGGAGGGAGGAGGATGAGGAGGAGGAGGAGGAGGGAAGGAGGAGGAGAGGAGGAGGAGGGAGGAGGAGGAGGAGGGAGGAGGAGGAGGAGGAGGAGGAGAAGCCTTCCCCCCTCCCCCCGCCCCCCCCTCGTGCGCGCCGCCAAGCAGCCCCCCGGTGCGCCCGCGCCGCCGCGCGGCCCCTGCGCCGCGCGGCCCGCGGCGACGGGACCGCGCACGAGGCCGCTCGGGCTCTCGGCACCTCGAGGCCGCTCGGCTTCGGCGGGGCCTCGCGCCGAGCGGAGCCGCGGGCGACGGGCACGCCCGGGATCGGGCGACGGGCACCTCCTCCTTCTTCCTCCTCCTCTCCCTCCTCCCCCTCCCCCTCCTCCTCCCTCCCCCTCCTCCCTCCTCCTCCCTCCTCCCTCCTCCTCCTCCTCTCCCCCCTCCTCCCTCCTCCTCTCCTCCTCCTCCCTCCACCTCCTCCTCCTCCTCTCCTCCTTCTCCTTCTCCTCCTCCTCCTCCTCCTCCTCCTCCTCCTCCTCCTCCTCCTTCTCCTCCCCCTCCTCTCAACGGCGAGCGAGGGGGGGGAAAGCGAGAAGGAGGAGGCCTTCTCAGAAGGCGGCGGGGCTTCCCAGAAGCCCTCGCGCGCTCCGAGAGGTTTCCGGTGCCTTCGGGGGGAAGCTCAGTCCGCTCCTCGGAAGGCCAGGGGGACTTCCGAGCCTTCTAGGAGGGCCTTCTCCTCCTCACTTCCCCCCCCCCTGGGCTCGCCGCCGACGGGAGGCCTTGAGACGGACCCGGGCCACCGACGTCGACCACGACGGCGACGATGGTGACGACGACCAAGACCAAGACCAAGACCAAGACCAAGACGACCACTACCACCACGGCAACGGCTGCGGCGGCGGACCACATCGACGACCGCGACGGCCTCGGGGACCTCGGCCGCGTTGGGCCCATCCGACGGGCGCTTGCCGCCCGTGGCCCAAAGCAACAGTCAAGACGACTGCCTCTGCGCAGCCTGCACTATAGGCTCCAGTAGGCCTGTGCGCAGCCTGCTTATGGGCCCGCCCTGGGCCGATCTAGAAGCGCAGCCTATGCACGGGCCTGGCATATAGGCTCGCGCACAGTTTCTGTATGGGCCTACAGTAGGCCCGCCGCCCCCCCCGATGTGCACAGGGCACCCCGAGGGCATGCCCTGCTCTCGCCCACCGTGCCGGTGGCCAGCGGGGCCCCGCAGGATTCCCCCCCAGGGGGAGGCAGCGGCACGCGGCACGCAAGCAAGCAAGCAAGAAGTCATACACCCAGAGGTGCGTAGGAGATAGGATGGGAAAGTTCTAGACGCTTCGCCTGACCCCAAAACCCATCCAGAAACGACGCCAAGGCGAGTTACGTTGATGAGGGATGTGGAGGAGCATGCAGTGGAATGCGTAGATGAGGAGGAGGAGAAGGAGAAGGGCAGCCCAGCCAGAGACGATGCCCAGACGAATTGACATGATCAAGGGCGTGGGGGAGCATACAGAGGAACACAGGGATGAAAAAATTGTCGTACACCAAGATGGGGCAGAAGGAGGAGAAATCGGAAGAGGAGGAGGAAGAGAAGGAGGAGGAGGGGGAATGAGGAGGAGGAGGAGGAGGAGGAGGGCGAGGAGGAGGAAGGAGGGGCTCCGTCTTCGGAGCAGCTGCCTATGCGCTGCTCGCGCAACACCTCGTTGCTGTCTATATCGTCGCGCTGCAACGGGCCAAGACACAGCTGCTCATCAGGCACGCTACGCAGTTCAAACCCATTGTCCTGGTCATGCAGAAGGCCGAAGTGCGCAACGCCTTTCCTGGCGATGGAGAACGCGGGCCAGATCTGCCCGCACGGCGACGGCTCTTTCAAGCGCGAGGAGGAGACGGCGTACGGCATGAGAGGCGCCGTATACACGCGTCTGGGCAAGTGCCGTAGTATTGGTCGGCAAATCTGCCGCTTGCTCGACGCTGGGAGCCAATCGCGCAAACTTGCGTGTAGATCCCCATTCGGCCCCGAGCTCCACGCAGCATGTGGAGCAGCAGACGGTTTACAGGCGCACCGCATCACGCTCCGCGAGATGGCGCTCCGACCTGCCTCAGTAGATGAGATCAGGGGGCTGAGGGAGGATGGGGTTTACGCTGTACCCGCCGAGTTTGTTGTGGACGGCACGTCCGTCTCCTCTGCATCGGCCATCGACCAGGCGCGGCCGCAACCCGAGAATAGCATGACAGGCCGCCTGCGGCGGCTTGCAGACCAGCCGCGCACCAACAAACCATCCGACATGTTGTGGCGCGACACCCGCGACATGAGGGCCGACACCATGACGGAGGGGAGCATCGTCTGGGAACTCACCTTCGGCACCATGGAGGCGATTGTCGCCGACGCACATCCCACGGTGACTTGAGCGAGGGGCGCCACGAGACGACAGCGCCGATCTCCAGCTACAGCAACCTCAACAAAGACAACGACGACGGGATATCAATTCGGCGTCGCATGTCGGAACTGAATTCGCGAACGCACCAGCCGACGCGCATTTCGCGGACTGCGTTCACGAATGCGACACAGTACTTCATGAAACGAAATACGACAGTGCCCGCAAATCCGAGCTACGTTCGGGAATGCGACGTAGCGAGCCACAGCAATGAGGGCCTGTCTCCATGAATTATGTTGTTGCGGCAGCAGACCGTTGCGCGCTGAGTACTAATGACGTATCCTGTGCTCCACCAGTCGTCTGCTGCCAGCCGTTCCTTTCTGTTGCACCCGCAATGTTTATAAAGGGACCTGGTTAACAGAAGGCCATAGCACAGTGCAGCTTTACATGAGAGGGGTTGTTAGTAGAACCCCATATCCTTGCCCTGTTCCGCACTGTAACTATTTGGTGCGGCCAGTCTGTCGGATCGCAGCGGTGGTTTGGGCGGCTTGCGCCCAAGCTGCCAATGATGCACGACGGACCCGCTTAAGCACCAGGCTCATACGGTAGGTCATCTGTCCTTTCAGCAGGTATCTTGGGTTGGGGAGGGCGTGGTGTTCCGCTGCCACTTGTTCGATAGGCATGTTTCCGGCGCCCGTTCTTATACATATCATGTTTTGCAACCCGCTTCATTGAGAAGAAAGGCTCGCCTGTATCATCTGCTCTTTCATTTTAGTCTCTCCCGCCTCGTTCTTATGTTGTCTTTCTCCTGCTCCTCCTCTGGTTCCACCTTATTTCTTCCCCTTGGGGCACGACGGTTTCTCCATCCTTGTGTTCCTTTACATGTTCCCCCGCGCCCTTGATCATGGCAACTCGTCTGGGCGTCGTCTCTGCATGGGGTGTCTTTCCCCTTTCACCTCCTCTGCATCCGCTTATTTCACTGCATGCTCCTCCACATCCTTGATCAACAGAACTTGCCTGGGCGTTGTGTCTGGATGGGCTGGTGGAGTAACGCGAAGCGTTAAGCACAATACAATACAATCGGGTTACGCTGCGCTACGCAGGGTGGAGGGTTACGGGGGGGGGCGGGTTTGTTTTCGGCCGTGGTCCAGTTTCTGGGTGATTTTTTGGGGACAGGTTTGAGATTTTAGACGCTTCAGGTTTCAGGTCTCAGGGTTTCGGAAGTTATCGGTCCTCGGCTGTTTTCCAGTCTTGGGGACGCTTTCCAGCGGTTGCGCTTCGCCGATGGCGTTCCAGGGGTGCTTGGATCGTCCCGAACGGCCGCCGGAGGCACAAGTTATGGTCCGAACATCAGCGACAGGGGGGATAGGCACAGGGAGGCACATCGACTCCCAATCGCCCACTCATCGCCGACAGAGGTCTGACAGCCCACTCCGCCCAGGAACTTGCGGTTTCGAATTCGAGGGCCTATCGCCGATCAGTCGACGATGTATCGCCGATTCCAGCTTGATGTGTCCCCACATGAGCCGGTTCCCCACGATCGTTCCCCGTCAGTTTTCCAGCAGCTGCGATTTGGCGGGAGCGTTCGCTGCCCGCGGGATTGCGCCCCGAACGGCCGCTAGAGATCCGAGTTAGGACCCGAAAGTCAGACGACGAGACTTCCACGAGTCGTCCTCCACCACCAGGAGTCCCTTTTCGATCCGATGCGATATCGATTCTGGCCCGAGTTCCTCTCGTTGTCGGAGCAACGAGCCAGAGGACGCACCCTTCCTTTCTTAATGTTTCGCTTCGCGAGCCCACCATTTCCATTCACCTTTCTATCGCTTTTGGCCTAATTTGGGAGATCGATTCCCCAGCGGTCCGACGGGGGCCGAGGTTCGAGCGGCGCCGTTGTCACCCTGGGGCGGCCCGCCCGGTCCTGTACCAGCTCCGTGCCGATGCGGGCCGATCCGAGGCAAGTTTTGATTCGATCCGAATTTTCGTTCGGACGCACAGTCGTGGCAAAAGTTTATTCAATTTGCCATGATGGTATTTCCTGCACCCTTACAGCATCATAACATGACATGATGGCTGCGCCATTCGGCGGAGTAGTTTCCGGTTCGCGTAGTGTTTATAATTTTATTACCCCAAAACCGGATCGGAAATTATTTTGCGCCAAACCTTATGATCTATGGAGCAAGATGCGCCCAAACGCGGAGGAGTTGGAGCATTTCTACTCCGAATTACTCCGCGCTGATGCGCTATTGGCGAAGGCAGATTGAAAGAACTTTTCGCCACGGTGATGTGTCGGTTGATCTTGCCCAGTACCTCGAGAACGACCGCAAGGTGCTTCGCTTCCACTGCATTTGGGACGACCCGACGTCTTTCGGCGTGCGGAACTTCTTCACGATGCACTACTACCTCGCGGACGAGACCGTAGAGGTCGCCTCGAGATCCGAGAGTGGCCGCAGACGGCTTTGCTTCCGAGCCTCGCCATTATGCCTCTTCCTTTCAGGGGGTCCACCCGGTCCACCCATCTGCCAAGCCCACGTCGCAGCCTTTACCGCCTGTGGGAGGGATGTGGCTGGCAGGCTGGCGTGGCGGCTGCCCCTGACCAACCATGGAGAGAAGGACGGGGCACGGAGGAAAATCTTTGTTGGATGGAGCTTCAGGTTTGCGGCCATTGTGTAGTAGTCTCCCCCATAGGACGCACTGTTACAAACAGTCGCATTAAGCAGAGGTCCGGAGCCAGACCCCCCCCCCTCCGCCCAATGTCGAAACGCCGACTAGCAAAACGTTGATTTGAAGCTCTTCTGGTGTGCTCTTGTGCCTTGTTGGTGCTCTTTTAGGGCCTGCTTGAGGCTACTTGGGGACATTTTCAAGCAGTTGGAGCACTCCTGGGGCCGTCTGAGGGCCCTATCAGACTTACGGCTGGTGATGCATCAACGTGGCTGCGATTTGAGCTGGTTAGGGAGGCCGTCTTGGGGCGCTCTTGGGGTTTTCCAAAGGCCATCTTGAGAAGCCCGTCGGAGGCGAAAAGGCGCGAACGTATAAGTCGTTACAATAAGTGCGTGCTTGAAAAATGTTGACCTATCGGGGGTGTCTTTCGGAGGAACCATGGCCACATCGGGCCGTCTTGCGGCGATCTTGGAGCTTGCTGGCAGCATCTTGGAGGCAATATAAAAGGCAACTTCGACCATACAGCACAACATTGGAGGCCATTTTAGGATGATCTGGAGAGGGTTTGGAGCTATATTGGGCCAAGACGGGGCCGAGGGCACGCCGGTTCGTCGCTCGTCGGCGGCTAGAGGGGGTGGCCCGTTCTCTTGGAAAGTCTTTCCCAGGAGGGAGGATGGTCAAGCATGCCCACAGTGGAGGCCCATGCCAAGAAACATCCTGCTTGCCTCCAGGGTTCCCTGGGTTTCTTTGGTTTCGACGGTTTTGCGACGGAAACCGTGACGCTCCCGCACCAAAAAGCGATGAAAACGATTGACGCCCTGGGGTCTCAGGGTTGGGTTTCTTGTGGAAGGTTTCTTGTGGACTGGCCTCCAGTGTAGGATGAGGGAAGATCATTCGAGAGCGTTCTGAAGCACCTGGAGGGTTCTGGAAGGCTCTGGAGCGGCCTGGTCGCCCAAGACGCCTTCCAGACCCGCCAGCGTGCAGATATTCCCGACGGGTCATCAACCGAAGTTGTCCTCATCCTGTCTTCGCCCTGCGCTGGAGACCCATGCTGAGACACACACCGCTTGCCTCCACGGTGCCCTGGGTGTCTTGGGTTTCGATGGCTCTGCTGTGGAAGGCGCGGCGGTCCCACGCCAGAAACGAATGGACGCCCAGGGGTCTCAGGGTTGGGTTGCTTGTGGGAGGTTTGTTGTGGACTGGCTTCTATTGTACTGAGCGGGCGGAGCAGGGCGAAGCCTGACATCGATCGGACCTGCACATTTTTCTGGGCGAGGTCAGCGCCAGAAAATCTGGACCATCTTGGATTACGTGTGATCATTTTGGGGTAGAAACATCACGACACCGCAGACAAAACACGGGCAATGGACGTCCAAGCAATTTCAAGCAAGAGGACACGCAGGACCCTGAATAATTTTGAAGGAAGGTATCAATGGGAGGCATAGCATTATTGCCTATTTCGCTGCCGTCCCAGCTCAAAGGCAGCGTCGCCCGATCTGCCAGTGTCGGCGACGCCGCCTGTATTGTATCTGCGGGGCCGGGAATGAAAAGGGCACTTTTTCACCTCCCGTCGCCATCCCTCTCCACACCGTTGTACTGCATCCCTATACATATATATATATATATATATATATATATATATATATATATATCCCTGGGGGCGAGGCCGGGGGCCCACAAACAGGTGCCCCCACCCCCCATGGGGGGACGGGGGCTCATTTTCCCTGTGTTTTTAAATGGTTTCCGCGTCCTGGGCCTCGGAGGCCGCCGCCTCCGACCCCCCATGGGCCAGGAGGGCCTCCAGAGGCTCCCAAGACGGCCCAAGCGGGCCCCGAGTCGCCGAAAGACCGCTCCAGGACGCCCAAGATAGGCCCAAGACGGCCCGAGAGGCGCCCCAAGGCACTCCACGACGCTTCAAGACGCCTCTCCAGAGCGCTTCCAGAGGCCGAAATCGTCAATTTTACTAAGGTTTTCGACCGATTTTGGCCTTCCAGCCTTTTCGGCTGTCCGACATTCCAAGTGGCTCAATAGGCCCCCAAGAGCGCCCCAAGACGGCCCAAGAGGGCCCCAAGACGGCCCCAGAGTCGCCCAAGACAGCCCAACAGAGCCCCAAGACGGCCCCAAGATGCGCCCAAGAGGGGGACCACGACTCCAAAATTCGACCCTCCGGCTTGAAGAGTGCCCCAGGAGGCCCCAAGGAGCCCCCAAGAGGCCCCAGGATGCCCCCATTAGGCACCCAGGAGGCCCAAACGAGGCCTACAGAGGCAACAAAACAGCCCCGAGGAGGCCCCACAACGGTCCCAAAACGGCTACCGAGAAACTGCGAAACTGCCTTCACGACGTCCCCGACAGGCCAACCACGAGATCCAAAGCAACACCCATGAGGCCTCTGACCCACCACCCAGGGCACGGTGGCGGCAGCAGTGACAGCACTTGTGCACAGCATGTTCCGGCGGGAGCCTTCCGGAACACGCTGCAGGAGGAGGAAGATCAGGAGGAGAGAGAGCTGGAGTGGGAGGAGGAGGAGGGGGACGAGGAGGAGGAAGAGGCCTCCCAGACAGCTCCAAGATAGCCGAAGAGGCTTCCAAGAGGGCCCTGGGCGGCCCACGAGGGCCCCAAGGCGGTGCCTGAGGCGCCCAAGACGGCCCGAGAGGGCCCCAAGACGGCCCCAAGAGAGGCCCAAGAAGGGAAACACGAACCGAGAATCCGAGCTTTCTACCCCGAGAGGGTCTCGGGAAGTCCCAAGAGGCCCCCAATCGGATCCAAGAGGCCCCCAAGAAGCTCCCAAGAGGGCCGACAAGGTTCCAAGAGATCTCCCAAGGTGGCCCCAAGAGGCACAACACATTGTTTTACGATTGGGCTTTGACGTTTTTTTTCTGCCTTTTGGCATCCCGATGCTCCAAGACGGCCCCAAAGGCTTCCAATACCGCTCCCATCATATAGAGGAAGAGGCCTCCAAGAGGGCCCCCAAGACGGCCCGCGAGGGCCCCAAGACGGTGCTTGAGGCGCCCAAGACGGCCCGAGAGGGCCCCAAGAGCCCCAAGAGAGGCCCAAGGGGAACGCGACCCAACAGCAGAGCGGTCCCCCCACAAGGCCCACAGGAGGCCGCAAGAGGCCCCCAAGTGGTCCGACGAGGACCCCAAAAGCTTCCCCGAGGGCCTAAAAGGCCACCAGGAGACGTCCAAGAGGCTTTCAAATAGCCCAAGAGTGCCCTCGATGCGTCAAAACTGCTTCCAGGAGGCCCCTGGGAGGCTTCCGGATTGCCTCAATCTGGCCGCAGGTGGCCTCAAGTCGGGCCTCCACGCAGCCAAGACGGCCAATGACGGCTTCAGATTGCAGAACCGATGCCCCCAAGGGACCCTCAGACGCCCCCCCAAGAAGCACCCAAGAGGTGCCTCCAACAGCCAGTTGACGAAGCATGCGGAACACCCCAGAAGATCCTCAGATGCCGTCGCGCGCCTGTGCTTGATAGCGTTGTCCAAGATCGTCCAGCGCCCCCCCGGCCTGGGCTAGAACCTGAGCGCGCGCGAAGCGCGCGCGATGGTTCTAACCCAGGGGCCCGAAAACAGCTGCCCGACCCTCCATGCGAGTACCGGGGCTCATTTTCGCTGTGTTTTCACGGGGTTTCGGCGTCCCGGGCCTCTGAGGCCGCCGCGATGGTCCCGGACATTTTCCAGATCCTCGGCGCGGGCTCCAAGACCATTCCGCAGAGGGCTCCAACAGGCTCCAGGGCAGCCCAAGAGGGCTCCAAGACGGCTCCAGGAACGACTGCAGGGTCTCATTTTTCTTTTGTTTTCTGCAAGACGGCTCCAGGAAGACTGCATGTCTTCTGAGGATGGCTTCCGCCTCTTGCCCCGAGCATCCCAAACTGCCTGAACGGTTCCCACTCGCCTTCCTCAAACCCAGCGCTTGCCCAAGCGCGTTCCGGACGGTCTTCGCCGGAACGCGCTGGAATGATCACGCGCTGCGGTTTCCCATGCCAACGTCCTCGGACGTGGGCGCCCTGCCACGAGCGCGTTCCGGGAAGATGCTCCTGGAACGCGCTGAAAAGATATGGCCACATCTCGGGGACGCTCCCGGCACTGCTGCCCCAGCCTTTCTGGGCAGCCTCCACAGCGCTCCAGGAGGGCCCAAGACGCCCCCTAGGAGCCCCCAGAATGCGAAAGGATGGCCCAAGACGCTCCCGAGCAGCCCAAGTCAGCCTTCCGACGGCTCTCGAGGCTCCCGGGTGGCCTCCAAGAGACCCCAAGAAGTCTGATAGGTATCGCGGTACGGCCCAGAGAGGCCAAAGTAGTATATGTTCAATGCTCTTTTCGTTTTTGGCTTCTCGCGTTTTCGAGCTCCCATCGGTCCAAGAGCGCCGAAAAGCCTCCATGGGGGTACTGGGGCTCATTTTCCCAGTATTTTTAAAAGGGTTTCCGCGTCCTGGGCCTCGGAGGGCGCCGCCTCCGACCCCCCATGGGAGGAGGGGCGGCCGGGGAGGTCCAAAATAGTCCAGGAGGGCCTCCAGAGGCTCCCAAGACGGCCCAAGCGGGCCCCGAGTCGCCGAAAGACCGCTCCAGGACGCCCAAGATAGGCCCAAGACGGCCCGAGAGGCCCCCCAAGGCACTCCACGACGCTTCAAGACGCCTCTCCAGAGCGCTTCCAGAGGCCGAAATCGTCAAGTTTACAAAGGTTTTCGAACGATTTTGGCCTTCCAGCCTTTTCGGCTGTCCGACGTTCCACGACGGCTCAATAGGCCCCCAAGCGCCCCAAGACGGCCC